AATATTATATCTTATAAAATAACTGTCAACGTTTTTTTTAGATTATTCCTCCGTGTAAACTGACGGTTGGCTCCAGTCAGTTTCAATTGAAATATTAGTAATACAACGATTCGATTGGCACTTTTGTGATTTTTTCAATTAATATTTCTCTCTCAATGTCAAAACTTTGATAAAACTCGAGATCAATTTCTGAAATTATTTTTGGAAAGGCGCCCGTGAATCATCACACCACATGCTCGTCGTTTTGTTAATAATCTGAGAGTACTAAGTTTCCGTGAGCGATACGCTAAGGCCGCCAACTCTACTGATTTTTTCAGTAGACTAATAAAATTCGTAAAAAAAAATCGTGTGTCGGAAGCAAATTCTTGTTTACACATATGGGAAAAGGAAGTCCCAAGGAAGTTTTCTATCTGATCAGATTTCCCGGAAAAGTCACTGGAGCCAAAATATGGCCTCACATATAAATTTAGGGTCATTTTCAGTACATTTTATTTTTACAAAATCTTCCATATTTCCCGAGTTTTCCAAGATTTTCCAACCATTTTCATTTTATGAATGTACGATCGTATGCTGAAAACGAATTCAAGAAAATTTCCCGGAAAATTGCAAATCCTGGAAAATTTTCCGAAAATGAACTTATCGCTATAAAAGGTAAATGGAAAATCGGGGAAAATTATGAGAAGTCCCATTCGATCGGGCGGAAAATTTCATGGGGATGGTAGCCGCAGGCCGAGATTTGGGGCCTAAATCCAGCCGTTTCCGAGATATTGCGAAAAAACTGGCTTTTTACTGAATTTTTCAGTATACTGGTAGAAAATAGTTGGCAGCCTTACGATACGCAAGGTGGCAGCACCTTGAATGGCGTTTTTACACACAAAGTAGGTACTTGAGTGTAAATTATGTTGTATAGGCGTATTAAAATGAAGGTTTAAAAAAATATACAATATCAATATAGAGCGTGTGGTACACAATTTTTTGAGTTGGCATTTTGATCTGCGTAAAGATATAATGACGAAATGTACCAATGAAAAATGAGATATACAAATTTTCTCAAGAAATTCGTTTTGAAAAACATGTCCGAGATCATTTTTTAAGCATTTAAGTGAGATAAAAAAATTAAAGTCACTTCTAATGAAAATGTTCAGATTACTTCCCACTTTTAGAGCACCGAAATTCGAAATAGACACAATACATTTTTTGCCTGAAAGAGCTAAAATATTTTTCAGCTTTTTTGCGTACAGTACTAAAATTACGAATTTTTGGGAGGAAAGAGAATCACCAGTCTCATGCTATCGGATCGTGGAGTCCAGACGATCATAAGTCTGCTTTCCTATCGACGTGCTGATTTTGCTTTATTCAATAGGACGACAATACTGGTTTTCAACTACAACATTTTGCTTCGTTCATTTTGTTGTAAAATTATTAGCGTAAACAGATCATTTTTTTCTCTGTTCGAAAACTGTTTATGCTGAAAAAATATGACTTAATTTTCATCATGTGCATTTGCGATTAGCAAAATGGAACATTTTCCAATCATTTCCATTTATAAAATAAACAGTTTTGACTTTTATTTATCGATGTCGTCCGTATGCGAACGGTGCAGTGTGACTGCTTCTTCTTCTTAACTAACACATCTATACATGTAAGTCGCCATATTGGTTATAATGTTCACAAATGGGTGCGTTTAATTATATGTCAGCGTACGTTGTGCTGGAAACAGAAGTAAAGAAGAATCGCCACTGTCATTTTGCGCGCAGTGGTTTAGCTCGATGTGAAGCCGTGTGAAGCATAGGAAAAAAAACAACTACAGTAGCCTACATTCCATGTAGTACTAAAAAAGCCGATAGAAATCGATAGGAATAATATGGTTCACGATTTTTCAAAATATCATTTTTGCTCAAATGTTATCGTGAATTGTCACGTTAATGCGACCGAATGCGAACGAGCACAACTTGTTCCTCGCGGTGTCTTGCCCACAAATCAATTTTTATCCGTTTTTATCTGCCGCGATAATCGTCACGTTTATACGACTGAGCACAACACGGCACACAATTTTATCGGCTAGAAGAAAATGATACGATTTTCATCGGAATTTGCATTGCCAAGATTTAATTCTTGTTTCTTGCGGTTTGGCGAATGTTACATGTCACGACGTGTCAATTTTATTTAGAAAAAATTTCTATCGGCCGAAAATGAAATAGTGTTTATTTAAGCAGTAACACAAGATGATAAATCGAATAACATATGCGCATGTTGACGCATCATTAAACGCACTCAATACACTGTATACATTTTCAATATGGCCGCGCCCATTGTGTACGACAGTGTGAAGAAGAAGAAGCAGTATTATAAGAAACTGTGTATGGGTTGTACCTTGCGATTCTAGGTCAAAACACATGAAAAAAAATATTGGCACTCAAAACAATATGTAATTTCATCTGTCTGTCCAAAAACCAAATTTTATTTAACGAAAAAAAAATGAATTTTTTTCCTGTGCGACTCGAACTCGAGTCTACACGCAGAGCTGGAAAAAACACTCTGTGTGTGCGCGCACGTAACTAAGAACGCACTCACAGTAGATGTACGGCGCTTGTATTTTTGGTGTGCGTGCACATTTACATAGATTTCGGTTCTACTGTCAAATTTTGGCGGAATCTATGTAAATGGCACGCACAGGCACACACAGAGTGTTTTTTTCAGCTCTGTCCACGCGCTCATAAGTCTGCTTTCCTACCTACGCGCTGATTTTGCTTTATTCAAAAAGGCGACAATGCTGGTATTTAACTACAATACTTCATGTTTCATTTCCTTTGGCTCAATACACACCACTTTGTGTTTGTTAAGTGTTAGTTGGTTTCGTTGAAAAAAAAATTTCGCGTACAAAACAACTGATATCAAATAAAAAAATTCTTTCGAAGTAATTCTTCGTGACGAAAGCGAACACAAAACAGCTGATATCAATTTTAAAAAATTGTTTCGGAGCGATTTGGATTTGCTTTTTTTTGCATTCTTCCTACTAATTTCAGAATCGTTCCGTAATGATTTTTTAAAATTGATAGAGTTGACAACAACAACTCCTTATGAAAAAAACTTTATGTTGCACTTTAAAACTAAAATATTTTGAGGGAATTTGTTTGTCGCAACGGTTCATTTAAAGTCAAATCACTTGCATAATAACTAAATGGCCCCGAATTCGGTGTATCGCTTATTGATTAGGTGTTGTAAACATGACGTCATCATGACGCGTATAGCAGAATAGAATTCCTAATGACTGAATTCGAAAACAAATTATTCAAAAAATTCTTCTCGCTTTTCGTCTATTTGCTTATTTTTTTATTGTTGGAATGCGCAGGCACAGCTGTATAGATACGTAAATGGACTCAATATTCGTCTGAAATTTTACACGTAAACAACAAGTTCCAATGAGAAACCATTTGTTTTTGAATTAAGCCAATTTACGTATGCACCGAAAGGTACATACAACGAACGCTAGTATTATGTCAATGGGCACAGCAACGTCAGATACCATAATACTTAACACATCCATTCCCATTGAGACTTGATGTAATTTGTTTGCGTGGAATTTGAACACTGTAATTTCAATGGGATTAGAATTTAATCCATTGGGATTTTTTAGCTAAAAAATCCAAAAGGAATTATATTTAATCCCAGCTATATGAAAAAAATCCTTGCGTCAAAACATTATTATTTAAACGAAATATTTCAGAAATTCAAATTGTCGCATTGGTTTTCAATGTGTAGCATTGTAAATGTTCAAGCGGCTATTGCAAAGTGATATACTAACACACGCAAACGCACTGTCATCAGTTCTGTGCAGAAATCACAATACAAACAGAGGCTAGCCACTGTATGTGAATGGTCGTGTATACTATTCGTTTGTATTGTGATTTCTGCACAGAACTGATGACAGTGCGTGTGCGTGTGTTAGTATATCACTTTGCAATAGCCTCTTGAACATTTACAATGCTACATATTGAAAAAAAATGCGACAATTTGAATTTCTGAAATATTTCGTTTCAATAATAATGTTTTGACGCATGGATTTTTTTCATATAGCTGGGATTAAATATTAATCCTTTTGGATTTTTTAGCTTAAAAATCCCAATGGATTAAATTCTAATCCCATTGGAATAACAGTGAAAACAATGACAAATGAATGGGTGCGTTTCATATTATCCACTATACTAGCGATGGTCGGGTACATATGTCTCTGAACATTTAAGGTTTTGAAATTAAACATTTAAGGTTTTTCTTGAAATTATGAGTGTATTCGGAAGTTTGCAACTTCCTGCTCAGCATTCCTATATGATTTATCAACATTTCACATCATAATCGATAGCAACAACAAAGCAGCAATATTGATATGGTTAAAGTTTGACAAAAATATATTGAAATTAATATTCTACATGACAATCGAATACGGAACTCAAATTGATTTCACTTAAGTCCATCGCGTCTTTACTCGTTAGAATCCTTAAGATAGCTGGCGATAGTCTTCTTGTTATTTGAAAATAATATAGTTTTAATCGCATTTTTTCCTAAACAAAAATGTTCAACATTACTATTCGAAGCAATCTGATAAGGTGTCAGATTTTGATAATCTGTAGTAGTAAGACTGGCTCCATTGGCGACAAGAATTTGAACGATCTGCAAGTTGCCTGGAGAATAATATCGACCAATGAGAAAGAATAGATTAATTACTCATTTTGTGGAAATATATATTCAAAATTACAATTCTCAGCAGCATAATGAAGAGGTGTCCGCTTAAGACCGTCTATAGGATCAACTTTAGCTTTTTTCGTGATGAGCAACTCTACAACCTCCATGTGATCTGAAAAATAATATCGAACAATGTTATAGATCAAGTCTTTCTCTTATGAAGTGAAAATATTCAAAATTACCATTCTTGGCAGCTAAATGAAGAGGTGTATCATCATTGTAATCTCCTAAATCAAGATTGGCTCCTTTCGTGATGATTTTTTCAGCGACATCCTTGAGACCTGAAAAATAGCACAGATCAATGAAAAAAATCAAACCATTCTCTTATTTATCGAATATAAACATTCAACATTACCCTTCATAGCAGCATAATGAAGAGCTGTCCGATTACAATTGTCTTTAACATCAACTTTGGCTCCATTGCTGATAAGCTTTTCAGCGACATCCTTGTGTCCTGAAAAGTTACACCAGTCAATGAAAAAAATTTCAAACTAATTTCTTATTTATGAAGATATTCAAAACTACCATTCTCAGTAGCTAAATGAAGAGGTGTCTGACGAAATTGATCTTCAAAATTGACATCGGCTCCTTTCGTGATGAGAAAGTCAACGAAATCCTTGAGACCTGGAGAATAACACCGATCAATGAAATTGATCAAACTGATCTCCTCTTATAAGAGATAATTATTTATCGAAAATACATTTATCCAACATTACCCTTCATGGCAGCATAATGAAAAACTGTCCGCTTAATGCTATCTTTGATATCAACTTTGGCTCCTATCATGATAAGCTTCTTAGCAATATCGATGCGTTCTGAAAAGTTACGCCAGTCAATGAATTAGATCCAACCGCTTTCTTATTTAGTGAGCATAAATATTCAAAATTACTATGCTCAGCAGCTAAATGAAGAGGTGTCTGATGAAAGTAATCTTCAGAATCAACATTGGCTCCTTTCGTGATGAGAAAGTCAACGACATTCATGTGACCTGAAAAAGAACACCGATCAA